AAAGGTTGAACCATTACCTGTGGTTCTGTGAGTGGGGGTGGCTCAGTTTTATGAAGATCTATATTACAAAGCATCTTTACAGGTATTAATCTGGTTATGAGATGACTGTGGCCACTTAGTAGCATCCTAAGAAAGCTAAAGTCCTTCTCCTTGTAGAAAAAGGATCTGTGCTAAAGTTAAGGGGAATAGGCATTTAGGAGAGAGTCTCTGTTCATGAACATTTTGTCCCTAATTTGGTCTTATATCAGCTTTACCTTTGCCTAAACACTTTTTTTTTTATACTTTATAAAGGAAGAAGGCCACTGTTCTCATTAAAAGTTTATAACTTGGAAGTGTTAGACAATATAAATAATATGGAAGAAAGACAGGAAATGGAAAAACAATCTGAAATACAAACCCTCAAGTTGTTTATTATCATGTTTGTGTGTATTAGGGGAGGAACCTCAAAAAACCTAGCCTACGATCATATTTTGAAAGTAAAGATTCAGTATTTTTTGATTGAAGGAAGGATTTTTGGTAAGATGTCAATGTGCTGAGTTAAAATGTGAGTTAAAGAATTATCTGATTTCAAAACTTATAAGGAAGGCAGTACAGATTCTTTCATTTTTGTTTACTCTCTTTTAAACCTAATATTTTTGGATTTTCTTATAAAAATTAGGATATTTTGATTCTTTTTCCCTCCAGATAGCTGAAATTATTTATAATGGTGTCCCTCCCTCCCACCTTCATTTCTTTTTTTTCTTTTCTTCCACATAATCTTTGACCTTTCAGTTTGATTCTCTTATATTTGGTCTAACTACATGTTTTGTAGGAAGTAAATTATGTATCATGTGTTTATGATGCAAGAATTGTTATTCTCCTTAATAGTATCTCTAGCTGTTTCTTAACTATATAATTGCCTAGTCCAAAACATGTTTCAAAAAGTCCTCCTGTAGGATGCCTTTTTGTAGTCATCTCTGAACCAGTCATGGTTCAAAATTCAAACTTTTTGAGATCAGAGTTAAGATTTGTTTTGTTTTGTGTTTTTTTTAAAACCTTCAGCTTTCTTTCAATGTCAGTAAATAATACTGATGCTTTGCTGTCCCTGAGTGGGCATTTAGGAATAAAAGCTTTTTTTTTTTTTTTTTTTTTGTGGTAAGGAGCTGTTGAAGGAAAGCCCTTACAACATTTTATCAGAAAGCAAGCTACCCCTCAAGAAAGAACCCTCCTTCCTGGTTTATTGTTGTGGAGGTCCTACTATAGATTTAGATAAGTCTAGGAGATTAGGGTTTGGTTTTGTTTTTTAAAATAACAAGCTTATCTTTTTTTTTGTTTTTCCTTTTTAGATTTTTAAAAACCAAAAACATTTATTGCATGACTAATTGTTGAAATTCTTAAGATGAACTGGATGTTGCAACAGCTGCCCTCTTGGGTTTAGGTGTTTTCCTTCACGGAATCCATGCCTGAGTCTGCGGTATACAATTTTTTGGTGCCTCATCTGACCAGTCCCCGTGGCATTTTGTCTTCTAGCCTTGGCCCACTCCAGTTATGCTTTCTCTTGCGCTTCTCAGGGTGGCCACATGTGCCACAGGTCGACTTGTGAAGGCAGTGGGCCGCAGAGCCACAGTGGCAGCGCAATGTATACATCTTATTGTGGCTCTTTCCAGATGATGGCAGTCCCTTCGTCATCTTGCTTCTGTGGCCGAGACCAAAGGGAAAATATGGGTTTGTCTTTGTCTCTCCAGTTTTTTTTGGATCATGCGCTGTTATGTTTTCCATTTTCTGCACCTGCTAAAGAAAGGCCCTATTCCAGGGATTCAGTTTTGTAATGTCATGGATATATTTGAAATCTATCCCTTTTACTTGAATAGTAGTTAATGGTAATTATAATAAAAATAATATTAATGGGCAGCTAACATTTACTGTTTCCAAGTTTTGGTGTTTTTTTTTTTTAAAAAACATATTGCATCATGTATTTTCCCTAACAGTCGTATGAGATAGATTCTATTCTTATTATTCTAATTTTATGGAATAAAATTAGACAGGAGAAGTAACTTGCCCATGGTCACAGGATTAGGAAATGATTGGACCAGGATTCCCATCCAGGAGTCTGCTTCCAGAGCTCCTGCATTTAACTGCTCTGCTATTCTGCCATCATTACTTTCTTTCTTTTTTTTTTTTTTTGCCCTGAAAGGACATAAAGCATTTTTACATTTTATATTGAATTTATGTTTGAAGGTGATAGCCTGAGAATGTGCATGATATTAACCACAGTTTTCAGACATTTTATTCTATTGCTGAGAAAATACGTAGTAATAAAAAAAGTTTGGACCAGAATGGTTTGTTCTGTCTTCTCAGGTGACCTTGTGTAGAGTTAACATCCTATTTTGGGGAAGAAATCTATTAATTTGTAATTGAGTCCCAGGCTTTCCTGTGTCCTAATCATATTTTTGGTATTTAAATATGCTCATTTTAAACTCATTTGTTTCCTTTGGACGTTCATTCTATATGTATATAGATGTCCATATTTACTTTTTTTTTTTTTTTTGAAAGTTGTTTTGAGAACATTTCTCTCAGTGCCAAATATTATAGACTCAATCAAGTACAGGAAGTACAGCCAGGCTTCTGGGGAACTGAATATTTTTAGGTGCCTGTTCTCCCTTTCTTTTTCTGTTGTTGCCTCTACTCTTTTGTTTGTTTTTGTTTTGCTAAATGGTTTTCTCTGCTTTCTTATCCTTGTGCAGTGTCAGTCGTGTTAAGTTCAGCTACCCCCATAGGAAATTTTCTTGGTTATGATGGTCTAAATTCTTTTTTTTTCTTTTTTTTTGAGACACAGTCTCACTCTGTTGCCCAGGCTAGAGTGCCGTGGTGTCAGCCTTGCTCACAGCAACCTCCAACTCCTGGGCTCAAGCAATCCTGCTGCCTCAGCCTCCCAAGTAGCTGGGACTACAGGCATGCGCCACCATGCCTGGCTAATTTTTTATATATTTTTAGCTGGCCAGTTAATTTCTTTCTATTTTTAGTAGAGACGGGGTCTCACTCTTGCTCAGGCTGGTCTTGAACACCTGAGCTCAAACAATTCTCCTGCCTCGGCCTCCCAGAGTGCTAGGATTACAGGCATGAGCCACCGCGCCCGGCCTGATGGTCTAAATTCTAACTTGCTAGGAGAAAGAATCTATTTGTCTCGTGACATGAAGGAAGTCCAACACTGTTTAGCTAACCACTGTTGGAAGAGCCCAGTTACGTGTTCATGATAGAGTTGCCTTTTAATCTAGCAAGGAAAGGGCAAGGAAGGGGCTAGATGCAGGAAGAAAATACGTATCTTTAGTACAGTTAGCAAAGAAAACCATTGTCCACAAAAAACCTTTTGGGATATTAAGTTTTGATACATTTTGAGGTTATTAATTTGAGTTAGCCCTTTGCTTTTTCTTGCCTTTGCAGATGTTGGGATTTTGTGACAAACTTATTTTCATAGCTCTTAGTTTATGGGTGTGAACCTGAGTGAATGAATTTTTCAGTCATATGTTATAACTGTATCTTAAATTTCTTGACATTTCCTTTAAAAACTTAAACTTTCTCTAAAGTATATTCCAGCAAAAAAAAAAAAATGTGTGATGACTGTAGTTATCTTTTAAACTTCTTTAGGTTCATCGTACTTCCCTTTCTGTGTGCTTTGCCTAACTAAGGCCTGAGTCTCAAAATGTTTGGGACTTTTAAGAATTAAAAAAAGTCCCTATTACAAAATTTATAGAAAAGAATATCTGTCAAATTGTGTAAGGTATATGTAAATAATTCACAAATTTCATGAAAATATAATTTTCTCCTTTACCTTTTGTCTACCTTGATAAAACATTCAGATAGAGACTATAAAACTACATGGTTTAAGGAAAGCTTTATGCATTACAACCACAATTTTTATTTTGGTAACATAGGAGAATTACATGGTTTTATACTTGAAGTGCTGGTGATATAGCATACAATTGTTTATGGAAGAAAAATAGTCATAATTTTGTGTATCCTTATAACCTGATAATAGTGGAAACCCATTGTGAGATTTAGCACTTTGCAGACCAGTGGGAAGTTTTTTATTTCTGCTTTGTCAAGAATACTATAACAGAACTAGTATTCTTGCTTTCTGTCAAGAATACTAGACATCTAAAAGCCAAGTGGAGACTGTCCAATGTTTCCCTCATCCCACCTTTTAAATCCCAAACTTTGTACTTTGAAAATATTAAACATACAGAAAAGTTTAATGAATAATACAGTGAACATTGAACCACCTTCAACCTCGATTCAACAATTACCAACATTTTGCCACATACATTCTCATTGTGTGTATGTACATTTCAGGGAGCGGGGGCTTGGCATTGCTGAACCATTTGAAAGTGATTTCAAACCTTACAACAATTCACCTGTAAATACTTGAGTATGCATCTCCTAGAAATAGGACATTCTTCTCTATGACCACTATATTATTACCATACGTAAGAAAATAACAATAGTTCTATACTGTCATTTTAAATCTAGTCCCTATCTAAATTCTTCAAGTGTCTCCAAAATTTCTTTTATAGATATTTTTCAAACAACAGTCTGGTTAACACATTGCATTTGTTTGTGTCTCTTTATCCCTTTAAAATCTTGATTAGTTTCCCTTATGCTTTCTCTTTCATGCTTTTTTCCTTTGGAGACAGGGTCTCACTTTGTTTTCCAGGCTAGAGTGCAGTGGCATCATCACAGCTCACTGCAGTCTCAAACTCCTCTGGGCTCTAGTGATCATTCTGCTTCAGCTTCCCAAGAGTCCAATTTTCTTATAGAAATTCACATTCTCCATTTGTTGTTTCTTCCTGGTGTCTGCCCAGTGAAGTTGGAAAATATTCCTGACATGGGAGCAGGAAGCCATATGAGATATTAAAAATAAATAAATAAATAAAAGACTCCCCAGGGAATTGGATAGTGACTAGTAGTTATTACTTGGCTGGGGTTAAGAAATGATAAAAATTAAGAAAGGTTTTTTTTTTCAGGTTAGTGAAGCAGCAGTTGGGAAAAGAATGGGAAAAGAAAGAGATTAAAGGGAATGCTATGGCACTGAGGCATGATAATAGGTGAGTTATGTAATAAAGAGGGAAGAGGGTTGGAGAACCACAGTCCTCAAAACCTAGAGGGTTAGATGTCCACTGTGTTTTGGATGATTGGTGCCTTTGGTGTTTTCTGCTCTCTGGGAGGCAATAGTGAGCCCAGGTCAGTTTAATTGCCATTGGAAAAGCAAAAGAGGTTGTGTGCATTGAACCTTTTGTAAGTATGTTATGGAGTTTTCTATGCAAGTACTCAGGTAATATTAATATGTTGTACTACTTCTTGCAAATTTTCAAGATCAGATTTGGAGCCATGATCTTATACTTTGGCTGTGTCTACATATTTTATAATGGTTATATAGGTACTGTAGTGGGAAGAATTTCAGGATCAGATCTTAGGTTGAAATCCTATTCCTACCACATGCTAGCTAATCAACTGTGTTCAAGTACCTTAACCTCCGATTCTGTTTCCTCCTTTGTGATGATGAAGCAGCCCAGCGCAGGGGAAAGGGCAGCGGCTTGGCAGACAGGCAGACCTGTTTTTGAAGCCTGGGTCTTCCCCTTCCTAGCACATGGCCTCCGGCTACTTCCTTTACTCTCAGAGTTCTCTTTTGTAGAAGTAGGATTGATAATATCTACTTCAAGTGACTTGTCATGATTAAAGAGATAGCTCATGTAAAACGGTTGAGTGTGGAACCTGGCATATGGTAGGTTCTTGGAACATGTTAGTTTTCTTCCTGCATGGTTATCGTGAGGGTCAAGTTAAATGGTCGGATAAATGTGGAGTGCCTTTGCAAGGAATAAAGTCCTACACAGAAAATTAAGCCAATGCCTAGGAAATAGAATATGGATATAAAGCCATGTGCTTATTTCCATTCATTTTACATTGTAGAAATCTCTGCAACAATGGTGTCCTAGGAAATACTGTAAGTGCTAGAAAATAATATTTCAGAAATCTGATTTTAAGAAAATAGAACTAATAATTAAGTGTAAAAATGTTGCAATTACTTATACTTTTTTGGTATAGAAAAATGATGCCTTTGATTTCTCAGGGCCGTGCACTAAAATCTTTGTGCCTATGTGAGTGAGTGTTATGTATAGCCTGAATGCTTTCCCTTTGGATGTAGTTTGGAGGCATCTGTTTTATTTACAACAAGTTTTATAAAAACAAAAATAAAGCTAATCACGGTTTTTGCAGTTTGACAATAGAGAAAATAATATTTAATTTATAGGGGCTAGGGATCATTATTCTGTTTCCCAGTTAGAATTTTTATTTTTGATGCTTGGGACATGGCGTTTGGAACCAGCTGCTGAGAATGTCTGTTAGCATTACAGATTGGTAGGGACTTTCATTAAGACTCTGATTTTCGGCCGGGCGCGGGGGCTCACGCCTGTAATCCTAGCTCTCTGGGAGGCCGAGGCGGGTGGATCGTTGGAGCTCAGAAGTTCAAGACCAGCCTGAGCAAGAGCGAGACCCCGTCTCTACTAAAAATAAAAATAAATTAAAAAAAAAAAGTTAATTGGCCAACTGAAAATGGAAAAAAATAAATAAACAAAGGAATAAAAAAAGACTCTGATTTTCTTTTCCTCTGTAGAGGAGGAAGGGTACTATTGGCTGGGCCCAAGAATTAAATTGACATGGGACAGATTAATGGGAGAAAAACATACAGATATATTTAATACAAGTTTTACGTGGCACAGGAGTCCTTGTAAAGAAATGAAGACCCAGTGAATTGTGAAAATGTGATGAGGCAAAAGGGGCTCAGGCTAAGGCAGTCCATTGGGTAGAGAAAGAAGTGGCTAGGAAGATGAGGATTAGTGTAATAGGACTTGTTTGTGCAGACTTCCTTTGGCCTTAATTTTTTGTTCTTGATGATAAGAATTATGCTGTTTTCCTTCTAGTATAGAGGGGGCATCTTTCACGTGGGAATTTCATCTTCTGCCTTAAGAAACAGCACAAAAGGTCAGAATGATCTTCCTGTACCTGCTGTTTTTCAGATGCCTTTAACTAAGATAATATGCCAGAGTGGAATATTTTGGGTGACAGATCATTAACTCCTTCACCCCAAAAGATTAAGATCACTCTCATTATTTATAAAACCTTAGAGAGACAAACTGCCTTTGTAAGCTCAAAGATCTCTCAGCATGTTTCCCAGCTAAATAGGAGGTAGGTGAAACATTTCCATTTTTAACTGTTACTATTGTTTAATTCTCTAAGCAGTATGTGTGGAGAGTAAATTAAATAACTTTGTTGCATAAGAACTTTTTTGCTGTTCTTTTGGCCATGTATTTATTAATACACGTGTAGACCTGTAGAAATCCAACGAAAGAGCCCATCTATAAACTGAATTGATTTTTGAGCCTTTACTCTCTCCCTGCCCACATGCTCACACATACACACTCACTTTTTTTTTGTAGTTCTGTAAAATTTTTATGTATTTTTTTATTTATTTTAGCATATTATGGGGGTACAAGTGTTAAGGTTTACATATATTGCCCATGCCCCCCACACTCACTCTTAATATTTTTAAATTAAAGCTTGAAGGACAAGTGTTATTTGTTGTGAAAAACCTAAATGAATGTGATGATTAAAACTTTTTGTGGGGAGAGAAGGCCATACTACGACTTATTTAATCTTCGTTACTTCCGTTTAGTTTGTTTTCCTTTTATTGACTGGAAAACAGCTAGAATAAGCAAGCTTTTTGTCCTGAGGAGCTAAATTGTTTAGTGAGACACTTTGTATATCTTGTCATCTGTTGTATTTTATATCCTTAGCATGAAATATCGAGATGTTTATATTTATAAAATATTTTATTTTTTTCATGTAGTCCTAAGTTATCATGAAAGTTACTTGAACCTTTTAGTGATATCTAAAATCTAGAGGTATAGGTGTACAAGTAGGATCATAGAATTCAGATATAGATATGTATTGTATAATTTATATAATATAGAATATTATATCATATGTATATAATGTGTAACATATATAATATGCATATATGTTTTATATGTGTGTAGTTTTATATGCAGTAATATATAATTATATATTGATGCCTTGAACTGGAAAATTAAAAATCTAAAAGTGAAAGTTTTAGAAACATTGTTCCATGTTTGCTTAAAAATATTTTTCAGTACTTGTAGAGTATACTTTGATTATGAATAGTACTGTTTTCAAGTAGCTTTTGATAAAATACCAGATTTTGATAAAGACATTAAGAAAGAACTTTTCTCTGATTGTGTTTAGCTTGCTATTCCGTTAGCAATAATTGAGAAAGGGCTAGTTAATTCTTAAAATGTTGACATTTTAATACTGGGCAAATCTCTACTATGAAATCCTCGAGAATAGACTTTTCTTCTTTCTTGTCCTTACCTTTACTTTTTCTTTCTCTACTTTTCAGTTGTCTACCTTTCTACTTCCTTCCCTTCTCTTCTTCCTTTTTTTTTTTTGCCTTCCTTTCCTTCCTTTTAATGACCTTCTCTTCCAGTGTTTTTATCTGTTACTTGTGTAGGAGGCACTGAATATATTGCTAATAGTAGCTGCTTTAAGATTGGGTCCAAAAAGTCTCCTGAAGTTATTTTATGACTAAATCAGTTATGTAATACTAACTTTTAAGTCTCTGGGCAATAATTTTTGCTTATTTGGATCTCAGAATCCAAAGTAATATATTCTATCATTGTTGCAGTTTTTTAAGTTGATCTGTTAAGTTCCTTCCTAACTGTATTTAGGTCCAATTAAGAAATATAGAGAGTGACATGGTCAGATTTCATTTGTGGCAGGGCACTCTCTAGCAGCATGTAGAATGATTTAGGGCCAAGACCGGAGGAAGGAGGGTGATCATTAGTAGATTCTAGCAGTAGCCAAATAATTGTCCTTTATTGCAGTTTTCTTCCCCTCCAATACAGGAGTTAGTCTGTAACCATATATTGCATTTAGATGTCATGTCTTTTTAGTGTCCTTTAATGTGCAATAGTTCTTCCAGCTTTATTGTTTATTATATGGACATTTTATAGTATGCGGCCATCCTCCCCCTCCCATTTTTGAATAGTGTGTTCCTTATTTTTGGTTTGTTTGATGTTTCCTTTTGATAAGATTTCGGGTTATGTATTGCTGAATGGAATATTACATGAGGGATGTGTCTTAGCATTTCACATCTGGAAGAACACAATGGTCCCGTACTTCATCTGTGATGTGAATTTTGACCATCAGTTTCATTGTCTGAATTTTCCATGATACAGTTTCTGTACGTCCTTGCAACTAATAAGCAGTCTGTAGGGAGAGAGAGACACTTTAAGACTCTTGAAATAATACTGCTTTTCATAAAGTTTCATCACCTATATGTAGCGTCCATCCGTGATACTTGTTTGAATCGGTCTTTACTATTATGGTTGTAAAATGGTTTTGCCTACTCCACTGCTGCCTCCACATTTACCAGTCTTTATTCAGCATTCTACTGTAATAAGAGCTGTCTTATTTGTCCACATGTATTATTTATTATTGGTATGAATTTATGGTTTCCCATCTTTCCCCCAATGGCTATCAGTTCATTACTGTCCTCAGATATTTTGGTGCTCAGATTGTCCCAAATCTCACTAGTGGCACCTTCTTCTTCATGCTGTCTCCTGTGGCCTCTTACATGCCCTCATCAATTTTTTTTAAGCGTGTCACTGTTTATAATAAAGGCTCATCTTGTGCCTTTAATGCCCAGTGCCGGAGTCAGTCACTTCTCCCAGGAGCCCCAGTTCCTCTTTTTGGGGAATGATACCTGAGACCGAGATCTGGACACTTGGTATGTGCATGACTGCGGGATGTCTTTGCTTCTGGGCCCTGTCAGCAAAGCTAGAAAATTTGCGTATGTCTGTATTTACATACATACATATGTACATATCTGTATGTATATACCCATGTAACATGGATGTATGTATGAACATGGACATATTTTTTCAAAATGTGAATTCACACTGATAACCTCCAGTTCTCCCTTCTTCTATAGTGAGAACACAGGCTTCCAACAGTACCATGATTTTCACTC